GCAATCCGTCCGTCTTGGGTGTCACAGCTTTGGCGACCTGCCGACCTCAGCTGTGCTGGATGCTACCTCCAGCCAGGTCGCAAATTACCATCACATCTGGTTGGGTTGGCAGCAAAGTTGGTTGTGCTCCGGGCCAATGGCGGGACCCATGAAGTAATTCCAGATACGGCCGTCCGCCCTGCAAATCCAGCTGAGTCAAGCCTTTGCTGCTCTCCCCACAACCACATTTCTTACGCGCATGCCATACGTAGGGCAATCTCCGAACACACCAAAGCAAGGCCGGTTCGGGCCTCGGGGGGCTAGGCCTCTCCCATTCTCGTGCCAGCGACAATCGGGTCCCCTTCTGGCCTGGATGCTACACAACCAGCTCTGAAACTCCGAACTCCTCCCGCTCCTCGAACACCCGTAGTCCATGCAAAGGGATGCAGCACGCAGCCAAACCCACAGTGACACCGCGCTGCGAGGCCAGCCGCCCAGTGTCCTTGCAGCCATGATGGTGGTTTCCCCTAATGCCGATCGGCCGACCACATTGTTTCGGAACCTACGGGCGCTCTTCTCCACAGCGCGCATGAATTCCTTCCCGACGCTAGCTATAAGATACCCCTATTCTGATGTTGATACGGGGAAGCAATGGAGCCCATCCTGTTCCCCACAGCAGCAGAGAGGACGCCTGAATCCTGATGGTTCTGTCAGCGCCAACGGGACCATCCCGGGGCTGGTCAGAGCTCCGTGCCTTCTGGACGCCTTGACCAATCGATCGTCGCGAGGCGGCCGTCTCGACTCTCAGGATGGCGGAACGACGCCTGGTCATATTAGTAGCGCTTCATTTCTGCCAGACCCGGCATCTGCCGCGGTGTTGAATCTCACCCGCTTACGCGATGAACCTTGATATCATCAGGTCCAGTAATTGGCCTGAGCAGCCGACCGGCCTGCAATCACAATTGGTGGTGTACGTCGTCAGGAAATATGGTTTCCCGGGCACATCTTTATTTTTAGCAGGCCCGGCTGCCTTCTGATATGGGATTGACCAGGTTGTTTGATCCACTGAGCAGCGAAGGGGATGCCACGATTCGACTGCTGGTGCCGGAATCTCGGGGAGCCACTGTGGGTTCGCCAGTCTTCCTTACCGCCGGCTCGAGTCACTTGACGTTCAATCTGCGGACTTGGTATCTGGATACCATGTGGAAAAGAACAAATAAATGCGGAGGGTGGGATATTTCCCCACATGACTTTCGGGAGTGCAACCTCAGACCCGACTTGGCAGAGCGTATTGAATCGTCGTCGGTGGCCTATTAATGACATGGAACTTGACGATTTCCAGGTCTTGTAGGTCGAAATTTTCTGGAAAAATCTTGGATCATACCTTAAGTTGATCGCTGTCAACGTGGGGGCCAATGTGACATGATTATCCCAAAGTTCGGACGATCTCTGCTTAAAAACATCTGAAGGCAGTTCGCATGAGGATGCAAGCGAATGGTCGTGCGCGGAGCATCACCCTCCGCCTCTTCGTTGTCAACGCTCCGTCAAGCCGTTTCGGTCATGGTCACCAGGAATCTGGATAGAATCTGACCAAAAATGTAACTTGGTCGAGAGTTTATTTCACCGATCAGCATTCGGATCATGCCTATTGCTCCCGTGGTTGCCCAGGGGTCGAACCTTGAGGGAACTACGAACCTACTACTTATAGTCATGTAGATCCGCGAGATATCTCATCTCATGATCATCAAGCGAACAGACCCTCTTGAGCTGAATCTGCAAGCCTGAGTTTCCCCGCTTCCTACTTGAAATTGCAAAAATGAAGGCCTTCCTTGGTCTCCTCGCCGCAAGTGCCTGCAGCGCACACACAATCTTCTCCTCCCTCACGGTAGGAGGGACCAACTACGGCATCGGCAACGGCGTCCGCGTCCCCTCCTACAACGGGCCCATCGAGGACGTCACCTCGGACTCGCTGGCGTGCAACGGGCCCCCCAACCCGACCACGGCGACCCCCCTCGTCATCGACGTCAACGCGGGCGACACCGTCACGGCCGTCTGGCGCTACATGCTCAGCTCGACGGGCTCGGCGCCCAACGACATCATGGACTCGACCCACAAGGGCCCCGTCTCCGCGTACCTCAAGAAGGTGGACAACGCGGCGACGGCGTCGGGTGCGGGCGGCGGCTGGTTCAAGATCCAGGAGGACGGGCTCGACTCGAGCGGCGAGTGGGCGACGACCAAGGTCATCAACGGGCAGGGGCTGCACAAGATCACCATCCCCAAGTGCATCGAGTCCGGGCAGTACCTCCTCCGCGCGGAGATGCTGGCCCTACACTCGGCCACGGGGTACCCCGGTGCGCAGTTCTACCAGGAGTGCGCCCAGATCAACGTGATTGGGGGCACGGGCACTGGCAAGCCGTCGACTGTCAGCATTCCCGGCGCGTACAAGGTATGAAACACAGAATTATTTGTGCATTGATGATTAGTTGCTGACTTATTTGGTAGTCGACTGACCCCGGCGTCACAATCAACATCTACTGGCCCCCAGTGACTAGCTACACGATCCCGGGACCTAGACCGTTCACCTGCTAAAGCGTCAAGAGTTGAACAATCCCCAACACCTTGGACTTGTGGCAACCATGCTTCTGGGGTTTATCTTGGATTGGATATGCTGATATGTTAGGCTGATAGGCTGAATTGTAGGTAGTAGTAAGGCGTTGAGTGCAGTGGTAGCGAGCATAAACTGAAACTGCTATGATTTCTTTTCAAATTTCCTCTCAATGACTGCGGTGAAATGTGATACAATCAGTAATTTTAAACCCTAAAGAAATCGGGGTTCGTTCTGATGAGTTGTCTGAGTTGTCTGTTGCTATGAGAAAGTATTGTGAACATACCTACAGGTAATAAGCATGACCCTCTGTTAGCTGGATCACAGTTAATGTTGAGTGCTTTGCAATAACTCTCACGCCCCAATGACGAGACGCCACAAATAGGTGGTGAAATGGAAATTAGTGGCTCTACCGTCGTATAAAGTAATTCTCTGAGTTGATGCGTGTTAAGCTTGGATTGGAGTGTATGGAATGGCCACCTTATGGAACCTTGGCCAGTCGAGATGGGATGAAGAGGGCTGTAACCCCGCTTGGCCGTTGAGTCCACTTCCCGCATGTTTAGTGGATTAAACCCTTGATGATCGGTGGCCCTTCCCACCACTCAGGTCACGTCACCGCAGCATGAGCCCTGTATTTATGCAGCTTCTTATGTAAACAGTGGATATGCTCCTAGTGGTGCATCGAACCACCAAATCGCATATGCACCATCGTCATCAGTAGTGGCGGCTCAACCCGCCGTGCCGCCCTTGTGCTTCTCCCAGCCACCGAATAAACCTGTCCAACGTGACCGACCAACATCGCTGCGTCGCCCATTCTTGTGTTCGTGCATGGTCCACACCTGTCCTGTCCTGTCTCTTCAAGAGCCCGCGGGATAGAGAACTGTAATCCCTTCGTTCAGGCGCCCTGCCTGCTCCTCTTTCCCCGTGCTGTCGCCGTCGTCTCCCCCCATCGCTCTCCTCCCGCGCAATCCGCCCACCATGAGCAGCATCGGCAACGTGCCTCTGGCCAAGATGGACCCTCGTCCCATGTCCTCGCCGTCCATCGCGAATCTAGACGGCCCCGTCAAGCCCACGCGCACGAGCTCCGTGCCAAACATCGCCCTCAAGCTCGGCCCCGAGTCCCAGATCCCTGACCACCCCCATAGCATGAACGAGGTGCCGCGGGCCTCCAACAACTACGCCACCAGCCCTGGATATCGGGGCCCCGGCCCTCACGATGGCGTCTACGACAGTGGCTACGGAGGAGGCGGCGGCGGTGGCTACGGACCGCCGGTGCCGAATGCTGGCTATGCTCCCGCGCCCATGATGACCTCCGTCTCCCAATTGCCCTCCGACGTCCCGTCCCTCAAGAGCCGCTGCCAGTTCCAGCTGCAGGAGTACCTCAGCCTCCAGCGCAAGCGTCAGCGCGCCGAGAATTCGAGCAAGGTGGCCCTGGACCTGGAGTCGAGGATCCGGTCGCAGCAGGGGATGGTGCTCAACGATCTCGTGGCTCTGCAGGCCGAGGTCAAGGCCATGGTTAAATCGGCGGAGAACCACCGCTGGCGTAAATGGCTTCTTGGTGGAGCGATGTAAGTGACCTTTGGAACTCCTTGGAAACCCTAGAGCTGGGAGGCTTCTTAGCAGTGGGCGAATAGTCATGGTTAGACGGATTGAACTGACGAGTCGATCAATAGTGCATCATTCATCCCTCTGGTGCGACGCATCTTCCGCCGGGGCGATGACGAAGCGTCTCTGGCAGCCTCCAACGACACCGAGTACGCGTTCAATAAATCCAAGGGCCTGCTCGACTACATCAAGGAGGGCGTCCTGGGCAACGGGAGCTTCGCCAAGATCGCCTTCTTCGTCTTCGCCGTCCTGTACGTTTTCCAGAACGAGGTCTCGCTGCGGGTCGCGAGGACGATGCACAAGAGGATCAAGAGGCTCGTTGTGCGCGTAGAAATGGGAGACCCGGAGCTTGACGAGAGGGATATCAAGGTTTTGGATGGCTGGCGATGGCGAATTTTGCTGTGGTAGGATGCCGTAAAGAACGAGCGGAAGGGATGGAGTTCCTGAATGAGTATATGATAATAACGAAGCATTTCTTTCTTTAGTTGGGTGAGTAGGTATTTAGGATCAGATTTTTGCAGCTAAATAGTAAATTTCACCTCTCAATTGGATGGGTATTTAACTATTCTTTGGTCTATCAATTGTCTAGCGACCTGTAGCACATTTCCCTCTCTGTGGTATCTTGTTCCCTGGAATATTGTGTTTTAGGGTAGCTTGGTGAACAGCTGCTGGTTGAAGCTGCTGAAGCTCAAGCTCTGGAGCTCCACCTCTCACGTCACTGACTTACAGTGCTTTCACTCAGCTACAGCTTCAAATCTTCCCGACTACACATCAACATAAAGGTCGGGTGACAAAAGAGAGAAACACAAAAATGGCGACCGACCAGGAATCCAAGGACCGCCACTACAAGGACTTGTACGCAAGTCCTCCGGATTTCAAGGTCCTCGGGCGCCTTGACCCTGACCTCGCCGCAGTGTAGGCAAAGCTCCCTCCGATCCTCGTCTCTTGACCGAGCAGCTTACTGTGATTCCAGACTGAATGGGCGAGAGCTCGACTTTGACGACCCGGCGTCGGTAATGCAATTGACAAAGACGCTTCTGAAGCTCGACTTTGATCTTAATATCGAGCTACCCGATGATCGTCTCTGTCCACCTGTGGGTAATTGACCTCCCTTGACCTGGACTGGCTTCAGCTAAACACGCTGCAGGTGGCCAACAGGCACAACTATATTCTATGGCTGAAGAGCCTGCTCGATACAAGCTCGTACGAGAAGCCGGGGCGCAAGGTCATAGGGATAGACATTGGCACGGGCGCGAGCTGCATTTACCCTCTCCTTGGTTGCACGCAGCGACCTTGGTCCTTTGTCGCTACCGGTAAGCGCATAGGATGCACAGCTTTTCATCCAGCAATCTGGTCAACATCTAACGAACATCCGGGAGAGTAGACATTGATTCCAAGAGTCTGGAATACGCAAGGCAGAATGTGAAGAGGAATGAACTGACACACCGCATCAACGTCTTCGCCAGGACGCAAGACGATCCCATGATCCCTCTGAAAGATGCGAACCTCTCCTCTGCAGACTTCACCATGACGAACCCGCCCTTCTACGCGTCCAAAGACGAGCTCCTCGAGAGCGCTGCGCAGAAATCTAGGAAGCCATTCACGGCATGCACCGGCTCAGAGACTGAAATGGTCACTACCGGCGGCGAGGTCGCCTTCGTCGGCAGGATCCTGGATGAGTCGCTGGAGCTCCGCGAGCGCGTGCAGTGGTACACGTGCATGGTGGGATTCCTCTCGAGCGCGACCAAACTGGTGGAGAGGCTGAAGAAGGAAGGGATCGATAACTACGCCGTGACGGAGCTCGTGCAGGGGAGCAAGACGAGGCGGTGGGCTGTGGGGTGGAGTTTCCAGGCGATGAGGCCGGAGCAGAGCGTCGCGAGGGGTGTCACGTCCAAGGCGGGGGCGGCGAAGATTGAACTCCCTCCGGCTACGGAGCAGCAGGTACTCAATATTGCTCTCCCGGAGAAGATTGGGGATTTTGCCGATGCGTTGCGACGGCACATTGGAGGTTTGGAGCTCGTGAGCTGGGAGTGGGATCAAGAGAGGCTCGAGGGTATTGGCCGGGCAGAGGCGAATGTGTGGAACCGTGCGTGGAGGAGGAAGAGAAAGAGGGAGATGGAAGTCGAAGAACAAGGCAAAGAAGAAGTCAAGAAAGAGCCGTCGGTGATAGCTTTCGGTTTCCAGGTTCGAGTGCGTGTGACGAAGGACGACCTGTCTGTTGGGTGCCGGTGGATGGAAGGTCATGATGCAGTCATCTTTGAAAGCTTCCAGGGCTACGTCAAAGCGACTGTGAATAGCATAACTGGCACATCAAAAGAGAAGAAAAAGTAGTTTTGTATTTGGGTCTAACGGAAATCATAATTTCTAACGAGAATCGGAACGTCTATCAAGGCAAATGCTTATCATAACCTGCTGCAACCAGCCTATTCCTAGCCTCCCACACCTCATCAGGGATCTTCTGCTCAATCTGGAACCCCTTGGCGGGATACTCGCGGATCCGATCCAGATCGCCCACCATGATGCTGATGACCAGCTCGCGCGGGTTGTCCGCGTCAAAGTACTCCTCAAACTCGTACTGCGGGGACGTCACGACGATGCTCACCCCCTCGTCGGGCCACTGCTTGCAGAAGGTCGCATACGTCCTCCGCTCCATGTACGGCTTCTGCACCAAGATGAGCGACCTGAGCGGTGGGAACCCCCGCTCGCGCAGGAGGGCGTGCGTGAAGCGGACGTTCTCACCCGTGTTGGTCGAGGCCGGCTCGACGAGGATGGCTGACTCCGGGACGCCGCGCTGGCGGGCGAGGCGGGCGAAGATGACCGCCTCCGGTTCGTCGAAACGGCTGGCCGTGAGGGCGCCGGAGCCACCAGAGATGATGAGCAGGGGGGCGAGGCCGGCAAGGAAGAGATCCGCGGCGCGGATGGCGACGCGGGTGTCGAGGCTGCAGAGGCAGAAGATGGCGTCGGCGGCCGTGGGGGTGTGGGAGAGGCGGTGGTAGTTGTAGATGAGGGCTGCGTCTTTGGATACCTGGTCTGACATGGTGGGCTGTCGCTGTATCGATGAGCCACCTGTGCCGTTTACTCAAGGGATTGGATGGATCTAAGAGAAGAGGCTTGGATGAGAGGATTGTAGAATTCTGGGGGCTATGAACCGGAATACGAGAGTGTTCCTGGGACATGGTGGGGGCCAAGAAGTAGCATCGTCAGCTTGATGTATTAACCCGCGGACGACCCTGCAACTAATTCTGTCGTTTCTACATGCAATGCAAATCTAGGAAGGAGAAAAATTGGACATTTCATGGATGTCGTGAAGAGTAAAAGCAATCCTGTGAAGACTAGCTAGCTGATTAAAATCAAGACCATGGCGATACTAGACTTAACATCTTGGTTTCTCGTTGCCATTCCAAGTCTATCATTGACGCGCCGTATTTGTTGCTGCCACATAAGTTGCGACCTCGCTCAGTGTACTGGCAGCTACATATCAATTTCTGAGCTTACTGACACAGCCTTTTGGGACTAGGAAGACAGACAACGTCAAGACCTGCCATCCGGATGCTCAACCGTATACCTACCAACAGTCGACCGGCGTCGGGGGTGCCCAGTCCACCCCATCTAATCGTGTCTCCATTAAATGGCCGCCGCTTAGGAACACGCACCTGGTTAGGTTCGATGCTGGTTCAAGCAGTCTATCAGGGTCCGTCACCTCGTTTGGCTTATCATCAGGTGTAAATCCATTTATCCATGTTGGGCCTGTGACGCACGCTATGCTCGTTAAATTGTCAGCATTGTTGAAGGCACCAGGTGTGGACATTTGCCAGTCGTTCCCCGCCCCTTCTCGCCGTAGTTGTTGGATTTTGCTATCCTGGTCTTGATACAACACAAATGTATGTATTTTACTGTCTGCGTCATCACTCGACGCTGCCACTGCGAGTGCTGCTAACGACGAAGAGGGGTATAGGAGAATTTTGGGGAATGCTAATGAAGACGTGGTCAGCGACTATCCGTGGTATGGAAGTTCAGTGGTCTCGAAGGGAATGGCGCACATGAGTTCCACGCGGTTTGATTCGCAAACTTTGTACCTTGGCCCATGCCCAGAGGATCTTCCCACACACTCAACAGATTGTTGCTACTTGCGTAAAAGACTGCTATTCGTCCCGCAGTTGAAACCTCCGTGTAGTTCCTGGACGTGGGGACGACGGCGATGACAGATCTGTGCCTCGCTCTTATTGACGACATCTGTGTGGTCCAGCCGGAGGCATATTTGCTTATCTGGAGTTGCCCGACGCGGGATTGGAACAAGACATAGGGCCAGTACGCGGCTAAACTGCTTCCCTCCAAGGCTTGGTAGTCTTTGTAATTGATGCTGTCGCCGATATATTGGAAGGAACGGCCGTAAACTATACCATTGACGAAGTTTGTGGTATTGAGATAAAATGCCTCTACTTGAAGCTGAGGTCAGGTTTGATAGTTAGCACATCTTGATCACACCGCATCCATTGGAGCGTGCATTACTGACAGCTTTCCCATTCCCATTGCCGTTGGAATCTTGAATTGTCAGGCCTGTGGCGAGCCCCGACATATTTTGTGCTCGGTAGTCGGGACTGAGGTTCGTCTCCCGGCCCCATGGAGTGCGCTCTATAGACTCCAAGTCAGGAGACACGCCCCTGGACATACATGATTGGAGTGTCCCGTTCGCCTCTTGGTAGAATATGTGTCTCACGAACCCCGTGGAATCATGCCACGAAGAGAATGCAAGACGCGAGTGGCTTGGTACTTGTTCAGCCGTGGTCATAGAATAAACTTCTGTTTGAGCTTTTTTTCTTGAGCCGAGAACTCCGCCTAAGACGGCTCCAAGAATAATGAGGGCGGCGGCGACGGCGCCGATGATGTAGTATCGTCGCCGCCGTGGCTTCTTTTGCGCTTCGCTGATATTCTCCTCAGTTGGCACGAGCGTGGCGGACTGGGACTGCTCTTCCGGCTTTGCAAGCCCTTCGGAGCTGACGAGGATCATTCCATCACCAGGCGTTACCTCAAGGGTCGGGTCGAGGACAGCCTGAAGTCCCGACGAGTCGGGCTGCAATCTGGCAACTGAACTCCGGTTTTCCATGGCGGCCTTTAGACTTGCATGATGGGTTAATGAATTTTGGTTTATTAGCACAATGGGGCTTCTTTGGGATAAGTTTAAATTGCTGTTGTGAGTTTTCCTGGAACCGAGAGGAGATCGGGCAACACTGGGTACATGTAGACAGGCGTCACATCAATGTACAGGCAGACACCTCGCCACGGCCAGAAAATGTGACTTGAAAAATACGACGCACCCGCAGATAATCCTCCCCTATAACACCAACATGGATTTGCGATTGAGACGTTATTGGCTGAGAAGCGGTACTTTGGGGAGGATTCAACACCACCCACCCTTCGCTACGTCAATGTACAGGTAGGCATCTCGTCACGGCTTGACGAATAAGAACTCTCCACGGCTAAGTCTGCCTTACAGCACCGATTAACATTTATGATCAAGGCATTATCAGCTGGAGCACGAGGTAGGAGGAGCTTCGGTCGTGTCAGGGGAAGTGTGCAGCTTCGAGAGGTGTAAGTATTCAGCCGACTCTGATACATTCCATGAGATACCCTCTTTATTTCGAGGCCACTGTCACGCAACCTGCTTTAGGCGCCGGCCAGGACGAGAGTACTACCGAGGAGCAAGCCAACTGTACGGGCCAGGTGGTCCACATCACATCATTGAGTAGTATCGAGCCCTCAAGTGGCTCGCCATTGCGGCCCGGCCCCCAAATCATTCGATGGATGGATGCCATTCGCACCAAACCGGGCGTGAACTGCATTGCCTCTCCCGTCAAACTGATCTATCATTTGAGCGGGCAGATGACACGTATCGAATAATGTTTTCCGCCTTCATTCTTCAATGGCACGGATTTCCGTTGCCGTGATGAAGCATCAACGTGGCGTAGAGCCTCTTTCTGGCTTATATGCCTTTTATTATCCCTCTGCGCCCCCTCATAGATACCTTAGATGGAAGAAATAGTCGCGAGAACTTGTGAATAATATAGAAAAGCGTAGTATCGAGAGCCGCCTTTTGATTCTTAGTTCCTCACGACAATGCGCGATGAGTATTTACAGCTACATCTGTTGGCTACATGGGAAGTCAACAAGCAGTACACGTACGACATAATTCTAGATTACTTCAGAGCAGCATGGTACCATCTTGCCATATTTTCCACCTTCCCCAGGGCGGGTATCGAAGATCACTGCCTCGATTTGCCCCGTTGACCTGCCAAGTGGGTGGCTGGAGAAATGGGACATCTAATGGAAGAGCAGCGATAAACAGACCGCTATCTACGATAAATAGAATGATTTACTAGTACAAACCGAGATCAATTGATGATATGTATTGTATTATCTCTTATATATATATTGCTCATCGCTCAATAATCTGGAGATCCCGGTCGCAGACCCGGAAAGAAACATCCCTATGTCGGAGTGTCTCGATTTCAATGTCACCCTGCCTACATTGCCATCTTCAGCCAATGTTCAATTTAAGCTTGTTGGTATGAATTAGGACCACACTAATGCGGTCGCGGATACTAGAATGTTCCTATTTAAACCTCCTCAGTCCGCTACCGGATTTTGTTTTATGTTTTTTTCTGTCTTTCTTTGAGCTAGCATCGTGCCATTGAGAACCGGCTGCTTTTAGTGAATAATACCAAGAACCTCTATGTGGGGTCTCATGGAGGAGAAATCTCAATTAGAAGCCCTGGAAATTCTCGTAATGTGGTTTCTGACTCATTGGCGCAGGAGACTGATGGGCGTGTTTCAGGCCCATGTCTCCTCGGCTCCTTCCCACATTGGCCGCCAGGTACCTTCCGCTGTCAGCACATATTCAAGAAGCCTCCCTCTCTTCATCTCCCACAGCCTTCTTTCAATTCTCTCACGATAAACACTGCCCGCCTCGATCAAGATCGTCTTATTTTCGCCCAGCATGCCTCTCAAAGACCTTCTCCCTCTCTTGGTCTTCTTCGCGCCCCCTCTCATCCTGTACGGTCTTTACGGCTACTGCATCCGCTCGAGGTTGCGACAGAGGAGCGAGGCTGCTCAAGCGGACGGCCAGTTTCGCTTGAGGGACCCGGGGCCGCCCATTATGCGATACTTTACCTTTTACCGAAACCTGGGCATGATCTTCGAATCAAGACGAGACTATGTCCCGGTGCAAGACGATCACCAGGCGTCTGTGCGACTGGAGCCACAGTCTCAACCACCACAGCAGCGCGACGAGAGGTCATACTCATCGCATGCCTCTCAGAGGACCGAAGATCCGGGCGCCGTTGTTTGATGCGATTCGATCCGAAGCCAGCCCCGTCGCGGCCAAATTCCAGCTAGACGGCGAACGCATGATTGTGCTTCACCGATCCCCGCCTTGCGCACTGGAATGCGCTCGGCACGGATCCCAAGACACTTCTCCACTAGCCCCAGAACTCTGTTCGAGTTTTCAAGTGAGGGCCAGGATGTAACATGCCCCGCCTGGCTGCCCCGGCCTCGCGATATGGGCGGACAGGGTGTTGTGCAGCACTGCATCGCCACCCTCCTTCCCCGAGCCTAGATGATCCAGACAAGCAGGCTCGTTGGTCTTGGTATTGCGAAAAGGACCGTTTCAAGGAGCGCATGCGCCATTTAAAACTTCCATACGCTTCAAGGCAATTGGCAATTGTGGATTATTTCGCGATGGCCGGCAGCAATTTGCCGAACGATCTTCTGCTAGTGATCCCATCCTGGAGAACTACCCAGTTTTCCTGCATGGGGAGACGGTCAGCCGTTTGCTGAGCTCGTTTCGTACGGTGCTATCAGCCAAGTCGAGTCAAGATACGTCCCACGTTGCACTCCGTGCTAGGATGGAGGGTCGAGATGCATGCCATATTACCATCTGCCCATCTCTGTCGTCAGCGTGAAATCTCTGGCGTTGAGGCTACCGTAGTATATAGCAGCCGCCCCTCCCACCTTTACGTTAAGCTTTTGTTTCAGTACTACCTTGCTGCGCCGATTGATCAATCAGTGAGCTCGGCTTTCAATTCTATCACATTTGTAGAACGCATGACTGAGATCATTCAACCATGCCGCCTCCCCAAGGTTCCTCCGCCGTGCCCCCTCCGGAAGCTGAAGTGAAGGATGCCCCGATCAAGGCGGCCGAGGCCCCGATCGACCCTGAGGAGCCGGTCAAGGCAGATGTTGGACACCGTCATGTCATACTCCCAGCACTAACGTCGAGTGATTCGCCCACCACCACCAAGTACGAGATCTGGTCCTGGTACAGCTACTACATCGGCGCCAACGGCTTGGCCCTCTTCAACTTTGGCCCGACCGCCTTTCAGAATCTCCTGTCCCAGGCGGCGCCAGAGGACACGGGGCTGCTGATGTTTGCCGGCCATGAACGAAATGTTAATAGTATTGTCCTCGTGGCAAACGGCATCTCCTTTGCTCTGCAGGCTGTTCTGTTTCTCTTCATCGGTGCTTACGCTGATTTTGGTACTGGCCGTCGGTGGGTGTTGATTGTTTGGTCTATTCTCGCCTACGGTATCGGCTTCGCTTGGCTCGGTGTTCACGACCCCGAGAAGTGGAAGGCCGGTGCTGCTCTGTATATTGTCGGCCTCATCTGCTACCAGCTCACCTTGACCTACTGGACAGCCGCCTTCCCTACCCTTGCGCGCAACACCGAAACGCTCAAAGAGTCGGCGCGACAGTATGAAGAAGGGACCATCAGCCAGCAGGAACTGGACCACCGGGATGAGATGGAGCGGAGCAGGCTGAGCAATGTGGCCTTCTACGTCCAGTCCGTCAGCGAAATTGTCATTCTCGCCATCATCGTCGGCATCATGTTCGGCGTCAATGTCGATGCCAGCACGGCTAACAACAATTGGGGTCTCTCGGTTCTCGTCGCATTCGCCACCGCCGTCTGGGTTGTCGTCTCACTGCCGTGGTTCTTCATGGAGAAGACGAGGCCGGGTATGATGGTGCCTGCCGGGCTCAACATGTTCACCGTTGGCTTCTGGCAGATCTACGAGGCCATGGCCCAAATGTGGCGGTTGAAGCAGAGCATGATCTTCCTCGCTGGGTATTTCCTGTTGGGCGATTCTCTCAATACAACCGTCACAGCGATCGCCACGCTGCAAAATGAGGTGGTCAGCTTCAACACATTGACGTTGACCTACCTTCTCATCGTTGGCATCGCCACGCAGGCGATTGGTATCGGTGGGTTCTGGTGGATCCAGAAGAAATTTAATCTCACGGCCAAAACCATGTTCAATGTTGTCATGATTGGCATCATCCTCCTCGACGGCTGGGGCATGATCGGGAACTGGACCGACCGATTTGGATTCCACAACGAGTGGGAGTTCTGGCTTTACCAGGCGTTCTATGGGATCCTCGTCTGCCCATGGTACAGCTACTCGCAGATCATGATCAGCTCCGTCACGCCCCGCGGCCACGAGTTCTTCTTCTTCTCCATATTCAATATCATCGGCAAGGCCTCGAGTTTCATCGGTCCCTTCATTAGCAGTGCCATCATCGACGCGTCGCCTGGAGGCACCAACAACAGCGCGCCGTTCTATTTCCTCTTCGCCCTGAGCGTGGTAAGTACGGCGGGAATTTGGACATTCCTCGATTTAGAGAAGAGCGCGAGGGAGCAAGAGGTGTTTTTGGCGCAGGAAAAGGCTCGGATTTGCGGCGAGTCGACCGACGACGATGCGAATGTGTAATGAATCCATGTGGAAATATGCGATCGCGTGATGGAATTGTTTTTCTTGGGGATTTCTTTTTGTGTTCGCCGGCTTCTTCCCACTGTGGCCTCGCTTTTTAACTCTGTTCTAGTAACGCCAATTGGCCTTTTCCCTGGCGACTCTCCTTCCGGACGAGCCTTGCGGAATGCCTTCCACTTGCCGATGAATGCTGTTACCGCGTACCCTAAGAAACCCAGTCCTTGGTTCGTAAGTTATATACAAGGCTCGGGCAATTGCTCCATGCTCTCGACAATGTCCTTGGCGAGAGAATGGAGTAATTGGCTGAGCCTGGTGTATAACCTGATATACTAGAGTAACCGCTGGTTGCGTTGACTTCCCAACATGACATGTCAACTAACTAATTATATCAAGGTAAGAATTTTGCAAAGACTTTGAAAGAAATGACAGGTCGAAAAGATGGAAAATAATCACTGCTATTTCGTGTGTTGTCTTCTCTTCTATTTGCCTACTGTCTTGTCGGTTCGTGGTAGAATGGGATGTTAGCTTACGCGAGCTATTGAACGCCCGCAGTTTTCTCATATCTTGTGATGTAGTGGAGAGAACGGGTGCATTTCAGGGGCTAGGAGGTCCTCTTCGAATCCGAGCAGAATCATGAATTTTCCCCTTTTACTTTTTATCTTTCATCTTCTTGCTCCCCCAGACGGTGGCTTTTGAAGAGCCCATGTGCAACCAGCGGCTAGGCAAATTCCTCCTTCCAATATATTACTACTATTGTAGAGGAAATAATATTTGATTGGACTATTCAAAAGCAACCCATTATTTGTTCTTTCCCCAATATCCTTGTGATCAGTGAGTGGACATATCACTGCGTAAGAAATTTTGTCTGCGCGGTCTCACAACACTCAATGCCAGCCCGGAAAAGGCTTTGTCGGTCTATTCTAATAACTTCCCCAGCTACCTTGATGAGCAGGTGTATAACAATTATGTCCCTTTAGTGAATGAGGATGTCGCTCAAAGGTGTTTTTTGGATGTCGCTTATAAGTTTGGGATCCATGGTCGGACCTTGGAGCCCATCAACAAATGCCCAATCAACCATACAATAGTGGTTCGATTGGTCTGAGGCACCAAGGCGTGTACGAACTGCAAAGGGACGAGGAAGTTCAGGTGCAAGTGCTATTGTGTCGCCCTCCCGTAATCTCTCCGAACTGATTCCAAAAAGCCCTGTATCAGTCCAAAAAAAGGCTTTGTCGATCAAATAATCTTTCGCCCATAATAGGAGCATAGGGAAACGCCGTTTCTGTTCTGCGGTGAGCGGAATATCTTTCAACTTCCTAACGTCCTCGTGTTGTGCGATAGTGGTAAAAATGGAAAGTAGCACTTGGACAACCCTTGGACTTGTGTCTTGCCGCGTGGGGGTCCATGCCTGTAATGCGTAAAAAATCCGTTCAGAACGATGTTCCTTCCCTCTCATTCTAATTTCCGAGCCTGCGAAGGAGTATAGATCTTCCCCATCGGAATACATGAGTCGAGCAATGCGTCGTAGAATCACCATAGGGTTACTACCTAAGCTTATCAAAGAGCGATGGCATTTCCCAATATAACGAGCTCCTAAGGGTAAGGTCAGAAAGTCTTCAGAAATCCGCAAAATGGCCACTGTAGGTCGGGCGTCGTAGATAAGCGGACAATCTGTCGCAGTGATGTCTGGAAGCCATGAAGGGCCTGAAGCATGTTCTACCCTGGAAGCTCGGAATCCCCATGTGGCCATCAAGTGCCGTATAAGTGGAGGCATATGTTGATGAAGTTTGGAAAGGGTTTCCAAAAGAACGTCATCCACAGACTTCCTGTAGTCTGGTGCACAAATTCCCGGGACCAGTTTTTGGAAAAACGAGTGAAGTGCAAAGATTTTATCCCGAGGATTGTAGCAATTCCGATGAATAGTCATCTGAAATAATTTTGCCACGGATAATTCACGTGGTCCCGCCAAGATTTCTCCCATAGCAGTCAATTGCAAGGACAGATCATAGCCCGTTACAGACTGCGCTACTCCTCTTAAATAAAGGCGCCGTAGTTCTTGGGCTTCAGGCTCAACTGATCCCGATAGCCGCCAACTCGCGTCCTTTGCGGCGTTGGCAAGTCTCATGAACAGATCCATCCAAGTAAGCTCGGGGGTGTGGGCAATCTGAAATGACATCTTTCCCATAACAAATATTGGCATTTGGCTTGGCAGGAGAAACTCCTGAAAAGTCCACATCCTGCTGAAATATGGATGGGAGATGAACTCGAGGCACCCCAAGAATGACTTTAGGGTCAATATGGCCTCTTCTCTCGCACCTTTCTGCGGGATGCAAGATCCGGAGCTGAGCAATGGCTGTCTGCCAGAATACATGCGTGACCAGTCTCCAAAGTACTCCAAGTACGGGTTTGAATGCCCCAAGTAAGCAACAACTTGGGATGCCTTGCGGTAGATGTCACCCATTAGAGGAATCTGGTGGTTTTTTTCATCAAGATCATCCTGATTGATGCAAATCGCGTCCGCCCAGATCGTTCTTCTGTTTGACGGGTATCGTAAATCGCGGAGCGCTGACTCGAGGTTCACGGTAACAAGGTGAGAAGCCCCGTCTACTGTGACATTTTTCTTGATGGAAGGATCTCCCCAAACGTACGATAAAGCCTCGAATCGCGGATGGTTATTGAGAGACACCACGCTAAGGGAGCAGCATATCTCATCGTCGCCGTCCCCAGGGGCGATCTCGAAGAGTCTTATCTCGGAATTGTCCGCATCTAGTGCAGAATAGTGTAGTTTTGTCATGTTGGAAAGTTGCTTCTCGGTTTGGATGAGTGTTCTTCAAAGTTTTCGCAGAATTTTGGCTCGAACATGGACTCGTTTTCAGCAGCAATCTTGGTCAGAGTTTGTTTTGGCTACCTTGCTGCGATATTTATGAGCGAATAGGGTAGGGTTATATGACATGTTGCTTGGGCAGAAATGCATCAAGGTTACATTGATGCGCCAGAAATGCCAAAATGACGAGAAGTTGTCAGCCCGATAATCAGCCCTCCAGAACAGCCCCCCAGAACAGCCACCGCCACTCACAGCATCGTGTACGAGGCTTTGAAGACACAGCCCTAATTTCCCCAAAGTTTTGGACTTTCCAAAAAACTCAACCCAAGGACAGGCTAATATTTATGATATTGCAATCGAGGTCTCGCATCGATAGGTTGGCCGCGAAGCAGTCACCTCGACTGATAGGTTTTCATGCACGACAGGGATTTCGCCAAGATATACAAGATATGAGCTGAAACTGAATGCTACGTAAAGGTTCAGAGGCTGAGGTCTCTTTTGTTGGCTGTGTCTGCTTACGCATATGCCAATGATAGAATTTGTTCTAGGACCGCCCGTGGGGTGTGACAATTACAAAGAATCCGCTGCCCTCTATTTTATTGAATCCTGTGACAGATCGCATATATTTTCGTTGACAAACAAGGAAAGGAATGATATCGTGACAAATACTACTGATTCCTTTCCTAGTTGACTTGCTCACAATGAAGGTCACCCTTCGACAAGCTGAATTCCTGTTCTTCTCCATTCCAGTATTCCACACGATCTTCCGACCCTGACAGCGTAAACCACCAAGCAACTTCCTAAGAAAGAGTTAATACAAAGAAAAAATAATGACACGTAACGACGATGAGCCAAGAGAATTCCGGTACCTACCAAGTGTGGAGCATCCCAATGGAATTTCGAAATCAAGTCCTCCTCAACTTGATCAAGCGTGCTGTCCACGACCGGAAAGTCCAACTCTGGGACCGATGATGGATGGGTTCGTATGTTTACCACATTCCTACACCACCAGCCGGGGCCTTCCTCCTCTAATAAGACAAAAGTAAGTCCCGTGAGTGGTCTGTCGCCATAGACGTAAATAGTCGAGATCACACCGGGGCTGGATGCATCCCAGCTCCCGAGGACATCTATCCTATCATCGTGACGGTGGATCAAGAGACCCAAATAAATGCCCTCGTACTTTTGTACTCTCAATTCTTTCACGTTATCGAGATTGGCTTTAGTCAGGACCGCGCCGCTTCCTTCAATCGGGAGAGGTGGGCCGAGTCGTGGTCTCGGCACCTTGATACTCCAGGGGCCGCGAGTCGCTTGACAATTCTGTGGACCGAGTTGCTCTTCTTTAGTCGCACTGAATTTAACACCAAGGTTGGTGAGGGACTCCTTCAGAGGTCCATCTCTCACGAGGAACATCCCGTCTGGAAAGTGAGAGCTTTCCCCGCCGAAGACAGCCAGGGAACACTCGGGATCCGTAAGCACCCGACTAGGAGCCGCATAAATCATTCGACCCTCGGAGGTTTGCACCTAATTACCGTTAGGCATCCGGGCCAACTTCACTTTATTGGAAATAACTGCTTACCAGGATATGGAAGCGGGTTGAGTCCCGCATAGTCCACGAGTTTATGAGCCGCTGTCGTGCTATGGAGAGCAGTCGCAGCGACTTTATAGTCTCTCCAGGATAAAGATAGAAGGTAAGGGCCCTATCACCCGCGGAGGGGTTTCCGAGACACTGCGCCCGGTCACTGCCGACTTGGATACATGACGTGCCTTCCGAGGAGAAGAAGATGGTTAGGCTCCGGTGTTGCTGACTGGCTGGTTGGAAAGGCAGATATTGTCCGATATATGCAGCCTGCTGGCCACGAATGGTTCGGTGTATCGGATTTAAGGTGACCAGGGAATACTTATCAGAGGGAGTGAAGTCGATGTCATGGTTCCAAAACATCTTGGGCTCTTCCGGACTCGTTTCTAGTTGTAGCGCCTGACTCGTGGTACCGCTGTCTAATGACAGATATTTCAGTCCCTAGCATTCGGGTTAGCTTAAAAGTCCAAGGAAGTTACGAAGAAGAGCGTTGTTGGCTCCCTACATCTGTTAGAATACGAAGATCCCGCAGTGAGCGAAGGCTGAAAATCCTGAATAATCTGCCGGGGCCGCGACCCAACCATGCTGAACATGAGCATCCTCATACAGAACCCGCAAACCAACAACACCATAGAGACCAAGAGAATATTGGATGCCTGATAGTGGGACTTGTTTAAGCGTGATCTCCATTGCGTAGGAAGTTGCAAAGTCTCCGCCAATCCTTGTGAAGCAGCTCTCGCCGAGAATGTTGACCGTATCTGCAACAAGACGCTTGAAGGAGAAGGAGGGCATGAGCGGGTAATGATATGTTGGGGTCGTATTTGACCAGGAATCTACCAGGATCCGATGGTCTTCTATCCAATGCAATGTCTCCACGCAGCTGGCAACCGAGAAGAAGAAGGTGCCCTGGAGATGCTGGCATACCAGCCGCTGAAGCTCGCCGGGCAAGTGACGATGGATATTCATAAGCAGCGAACCGAGGCTTGAATCCTTGCACGCGATTTCGGATTCGGGAAATTTGGTCAGGCCAGGTTCTACACCCAAGATCTCCTCAGCCACACCCGGCAAAGTAATGGGACGTAACAACCGAGCGATGCGGACCAGGACATCGGCCGAGAAGTCGCCCCATCTTCGCTTAGCAAGTTGCGAGCAGTGGAGGTGGACCAGGTTGACCGTGGCTTGGACTCTGTTGAGCGCAGCTTCTCCATCGCACCTCGGGCAACTGGTGTAGTAAGCACAAGCATGATACCTCGTTCCCGGAGGATACTCCAAGTTGCGGCTTCTGAGCACGCGTCGTTGGCTTATTTGAGCGTTACATAACTTGGATTGCGTTTGACCAATGCTAGATGGTATACTGAGGACTATCTATACCGGTTAGAACATTTTGAAGTGCTGGCAACATAGGTAGATTGTAGATGGATATCATAACGTACCGCAGATAACATTCATCTCCCATGTCGAGAGACGGGAAAGGGGGTCGATATCTGAGCGCCGGTCAACATGCAGGGTATCGCCACAGAGGATACAATGATTCTCCAACTTGGCGTGCCTTAACCCGGAGCCTTCATCATCAGATTCAAAAGAAGTTGACTCATTTGGTGGCTGGATACGAGCTGAATCATCAGGCGCTAGAGGCGGGGGATTCTCGACGAAATTTGTGATGAAGAGATCGCGGGCTCCTGGCCTCATCCCAGGGTGAGGGGGATCGGCCATACTGTCAATATCTTCGGTGTTTTTACGAGGGTCCTGATGGTAGAATGATGACGATGCAGGCTCAATGGATGCAAAGAAGCCTGGAGATGATGGAGAGAAGAAGTCGGCCTTCTGCCTGATGCAAAGACAGCGATGGCTGTCATTACGCAGGTCTGCCTGATATCTGATTCGTCGTACTCGCGACTTCTGAGACAGCCCCCACAGGTTGCGCATTATCGAGGCGGCCGGCTTACCGTCACAGTTCGCGACCCGGTAAGTACATAAACATTTCGCCTTGTGATGGGACTTTGGTTCGGCTGAGCATGGTCAACTCTACTAAAGGAGGAAATAGTTGCCTGACGGACAGATGAATCTGCAACACGTCGAGGTATAATTAATTTTCAAGAAAAAAAAATAACGGAGGGGAAATTGGACTAACAGGGCCCATCGAGAAGCGAAGTATGAAATGAAGTCAACTGGGCCATTGCCGTATATATTCCGTTCAATTCTAGTATTGCCATCCTATCAACATCATGGCCTAACCAATCAAAAAGTACTAGTCAGAGATCCGTCACAGGATCGGCCAACATTGACGGAGTTACTGACTATAGCAACTAAGAATAAGTGAAGAATCAACTGCTTGAGGGTAACGGTTTGGAAAGATGGTTCATTATTAGGCAAGTCTTTGTTAACACGTGCCGTTCAATTCATCTAAACCCGGCAATCTAACAAGACAGATATCGCTATCAGCTGAAACTCCAGCCGAGCCTAGCGCTTACAAATCTTCCACTGCGACGACCAAATTCACCGGGTGGTGTTGAAGATCGATGCCGGCCAACTTGGCCGATAATGATCCACTCACAATCTCTTGCTGACTCGGTGGACTTTGCATGAGATGAAGTCTCAAATAACACTAAAATTGAATAGAATTCAAGCTATACATCGGACAACTTGGCCAGTAGAATTATGATTATCAATATGCGAAGGCATAATGTAGAAATCATCCAAGTATATAAGGCAGTGAGCCCAGCTCCAAAGGGCAAGATATCTAGAACACCACCAAGCATAAGAACAAACCATTCAGACCAATACAATACACGAGAAACAACTCGACTTCTTTGATTCAAACATAGGAGACGTACTCTACTATCTCTAATATCACACTTTCATCCCTTATCCATCCACCATGAGCCAAATCGCCTTCATCACCGGAGCCAACCAGGGCATCGGGCTGGCCGCAGCCAAGAGCCTGGCCCGCGATCACGGCTACCATGTGATTATCGGCTCCCGAAACCTCGAGGCTGGCGAGAAGGCCGCAGCGGATATCCGCGCTGATGGTCACAAGGCCTCCGCGGTCCAACTCGACCTGAACAAGCCCGAGTCCATTGAGAGCGCTGTCGCGACAATCAAGGAGGACTTTGGCTACCTGGACGTCTTGATCAACAACGCGGCCATCTTGATCGACACCAAGCCCGAGCAATTCAAGGATACGTGGGATCTCTACAGCAAGACCCTGGAAACCAACGTTATTGGCCCCGCCGTCCTCACCGAGGCTTTGCTCCCCTTGCTCAAGGAGGCCAAGGCAAAGCCTGCCCGCCTGGTGTTTGTCTCAACCACCATGGCGAGCATCACCATGTCCCTGGATAAGACGACCCCATGGTACCCCATTGACTACACGGCCTACGACGTGAGCAAGGCTGCAGTTAACATGCTCACGTCCAACTTTGACCGTAAGCTGCAAGGCACAGGGGCCAAGGTCAATGTTGTCTGCCCCGGGCTTGTGTCGAGCAATCTGACGCAGCACAAGTTTGGCACGACCACGGAGGAGGGAGCTATTCAGCTTGTGAAGATGGCCACGCTGGGCGAGGATGGTCCAACGGGGACCTTTACCCGCGCTGACCAAGCTCTTCCCTGGTAGAGGATTTATTGGTCCAAAGATTGAGATTTTATGTAGACCACTTTCATATAGGTACTCGTCAAAATACAGATATAAGCATTAATTGAAACGTTGATTGAATGAATCGTTCTTACCTTTGAAAACCTCCCAGGGACGGTAGCGGACTTTAGGGAGATAACACAGGGGACAACTGATCGTCGATTGTTCATATACATTTCTAACGCCAAGAGTTGAGTTGCTTTGCATGTATCGCTACTTTGCGGAGTTTGTCAGCAGCCAACGCACGTTCGCTAAGACTGGATACAGCGCCTTGATCCCACTGGCATCACTTAGTAACCTTGATCAACTCACCTCATCCATCACCATCTAGACCTCATGAGACCAAACCATACCGGCTTCATGGGGTCGTCAGCTTCTTCGGCGCGGCAATGCCCCATCTGCGACAAGGAGTTCGGTCTAGGTAGGCCAATAAATATCTTGTAGTGCAGCGCGATAAACTCCTAGCTGACCATTCACCCAGAAACCGCGTACAAGCGCCATGTGTCATATTGTCGGCGTGCCCAGGCCAAGCGCAAAGGCCGGCCGGTTTCATGCGCTGCTTGCAGTTCTTCAAAAATAAAGTGCTCCTTCACGAAGCCCAGATGCGCGCGATGCGAGTCCAGGGGCATTGAGTGTGTCTACAATGAGGCAGCGCGCAAAATTGCCCCTGGCCGCGCCCAGCAGCAGCTCACCATGGCTCTGTCAGTCGAAGAGGAGGATCTCCAAGTCGTTCGCCAGAGCCAGACGTCTGCACCAGACCCAGCTAACAGCTTAATCGTGGCCTCGGGATTCGCCTCGGAAAGTCCAGATATAACTATCTTTGATGCCGACAACACTGTTCTAGATTTGGCCGACGTCGATCTAGAACTGGCAGACCTGCAGCTCGACCTCCAAAAGCCCGACGTGGGCGAATGGTTCAACCTTGCCATGTCACACAACTCGAGTCCAACCGTCCAGCACGCTCTGTCTGGCCCTCATAACCAGCTTGGGCCTCTGCGGTACAACTTGCATCAAGTGTGCCATACTGTTGACCTCGCGTTCGACATTATGTCCTGTTTTCCGCAGATGATGCTCCGCAACCAGACGCTTCCACCGTTCATGCACATCCCATCATACAGTGCTTTTATGCCTGAAAGAATATCGACATGCCGAGGTATTGCGCAGGTTTTCGAGACTCGGACCGACGAGACTGCCTCCTTCCTCTGGCGTACCGTTGATGCCGAAGTTTCCCGTATCGAGTCTGAGGTAATATTCTCAGCCTGACCTTCTACCACCCACACTTGACCATTGACTAATTTCCAAATAGCTGAGCAGAATGGACATATATTCGGTCCAGCATGCTATACAATGCGTTCTCATCTATTCCGTGATGCTCAAAATCGACTATGAGCCAGCGATGGTCAGTCGTGGATTACGTCTGGTTCAGACATACTGGGTGCGTATCTTTCTCAATCAGTAGAAGCCTCAAGCTCAAACTAATTTCCTCTGCAGAATCTCACGGTGCGATGTCTTGATCTCACTAGTCAACTAGAGTTTTTCTCCACGGAGAAGACAAATCCAAGCCCGACATGGGAGGACTGGATCGTGGCCGAGACCCGACGCCGGTAAGAATGAACCCAGATTTCTGAAGAACCCAATGCTTCACACAATGGCTGACCTGCGATCGTAGAATCATTGCCTTTTGGTTCATCATGCGCCAGGTCATGGCGTCGCGACTACAAGTGGCATGTGGTATTCACGAACACTTTGATCACCTGCCCCTCATCTCGCCCAAGTCCTTGTGGGAAGCGCGGACACGGGAGGAATGGGAAATTGAGAGGACTTTTCATGCCAAAGGTAACCCGATCTCGACATATGGTGAGCTAGCTCGGGCCAAGCTAGCGCCAGACAATCCTATCAACCGGCAACGCCTCAGATATTGGGAAGCCGGCACTGACAAACTCGGCACACTCGTCAACCTGTCGATCACACTACTGTAGACACGACAAAGAGTTTTCTATTTTCTAAAAGATCTATCGATGATTAAGTATTAGAGTCTATCGTTCAGGCATTAGAGTCTATCATTCAGGCTGCCCACCATGGTCGGCTCGTATACTGGTATTCTCAAAGGCGCCGGCGGGTTCTTCTGTGCGAGGTTCGACATCGCCCACCTCAACCAACCGCCATACGTCCCCGGACCGCAGTCGCTCCCATCGTTCGCCCTCCAATGCATGCCCAGCGTGGGCGCACCGAACAACTTCGCAGAGAACCCGTGCGCCAGCTTCAAACACCAGCTCTGCGCGATGCTCTTCTCCACAATCTCCCTCGCGAGCTTCTGGTCCGCCGTCTCCTCCTCCCCGCTGCTCGGCATCTCCAGCGCAAACAGCTCAAACTGCCGCTTGCTATCCCAGTCCGTCAGGTTCTCGTTCACATACGCCATCTCCAGCATGTTGTACAGCCAGCACTTGTCACGGACGTACCCAGGCCCGTCCCACCCATCATCCTCGTCGAGCCAGCGCTGCGCAGAGCCCATCGCCTGGATCTGGATGGCGTAGTCCGTCATGCTCTCGTCGTTGATGTCCATCTTATCCTTTCCCTCTGAAACGGACGGCGGCACCCGCATGAGCGGCACGTGCGACACGAGCGGGTGGCTGTGCGCCCCCACGGTGCTCGTCCTGCCCTCCCACAGCTTGATGAGGATCCTGTGCGCGCGGAGGACGAGCGGGCAGTCGGCGACGCTCATGAGGGCGAAGTTGACGATGGAGACGTGCTCGGGGGGGTCGCCCATCGTGTACCCCGCGAACTCGTAGGGCGAGTCCGGGTTGGCGAGGTGCTCCTCCCACAGCCAGTTGAGGTCGCCGAACTGGAGGATGCCCACGTCCAGGTAGACGCCGCCGTAGTTGATGAGCAGGGGGTACCGCACGAGGTCGGACGTGTGCTGCGAAGCGTACCCACCACCCAGATTGCCGTCGATGAGGGCCTGCGGGACCACGGACGGCGAGGCGGCGTCAATGTACCGCGAGAAGTGGAGGGGGGAGCCGTCGACGCCATCGAGGACGTAGATGTTCCATCCTAGCGGCGCGAACCGCTGATACCAAGACAAGACGTTCCTCTTCAGGTACGGGGGCAGCGTGGCGATGCCCGAGTGCCAGAAGGCAAAGATGTGCTTGCCGCCCTTCCTGGGGAACGGCGGGGACGCGAGCGCGGGGATTGACGCCAGGGCGGCGTCGGTGACATCGTACTGGGGGCCCGGCTGAGGGATCAGCTCGGTGCCAGGGATTATCGGGTAGTCCATGGTGCTAGATTGATATCGAGTGTGGTTTCTAATTGATGACTTTCGATGCTTTTCTTCCGATGACTGATTGATTGATCACGGCTCGATGGGTTAATAAAGTCAATTGAGGTCGAATTATCACAATGAGTCATGTGGGTCATAATGGTCACTGAGACCAGTTTGTGGGTTCATCATGCATGCAGGCGAGGGCATGATGAGGCTGATTGCATATTTTCTGACGAAGATGCATTGTTACTCATTCATCATCATCAGCACTCAGAGGATCTAAGCCACAATCTCATCGGTGTGAGATCTGTGGGTACGGTGCACACTCCTCGGGTCATGAACGCGAAAGTAGGTAGAATCAAGATAAATTAATCATTATCATTATTTTTATCTAATTACGCAGGTTGCTTGTGCTATGTTCGTCTTTGTGCCGATGCTATACTATATAGAACAGAATGAAAAAGAGTCGCCATGTGTGTCATAAATCATAAGGTAAGGATAGTAAGGATAGTGCTTGCCGCTGAAGGGCTATTTTTCCGACTTGGCCCCCCAGTTTGGGGCATTTTTCCGTCTCTTGAATTGGAACTTGGTCTCGCCTGACGGGAACATAAACTCAAGTATCCATCGGCTGGGTGGTCGCTGGTTCTTGTGCTCGTCGGCCAGTTTGACGTCGTAGTTGAGGACGAGATACGCGAGGAGCATCTTCATTTGGTAATCCATCAGGTAGCGACCGGGGCAGGAGTTTTTACCACGGCCAAAGGCCAAGAGCTTTGCAGTCGAGAGGAAGCTGTTGGGATCTCCTTCTCCTCCCACCTCACGAGCCGGCCCGTCGGTCTCCTTTGATGTCTCCTCTTCGCGCAAGCGGTTGAAGCGAAAGGGGTCCAGGTGCAGTGGGTTGACGTATTGGTCCGGGTCGGTGTGCATGGGTTGCGCGACGAAGGAAATAATTGTGCCTTTGGGGAGTGGAACGCCGGCATCTGTGACCACTCCATCAACCATCACTTGTCGGGCCAGGGCTCTCGTCGGAACCGAGTTGAGACGCAGGGTTTCCTTCATCAAGCTGTCGGCATGAACCAATCTGTTGGTGTTCTCCCGACGCCATAATTTCCTAGGGTCGGGCTCTGTGGCTAGAAATTGGGCCGCTTCTTCTCTGAGAACGGCTACTGTATCGTACTGAGGGTCGGAAGCTAATAAATTCGAAAATAGATTGGTAGTAGTGAAACTTGCAAGGTAAATAAAGGCAAGGTTGGACATGCACACGCGCCGTGTCATCTGGTCGACGGCCAGCTCTTCGGGGCGATGTTTTCGCGCGTGTCGCAGCATCTTCTGGACGAGATCCAACTTTTGGTCGGGGTTGTCGCTTGAGATATCCTGGAGACGGCTCTTGAATTCCATGTCATAAAATTTCTTTGCAAGGTGATCGATTTTACGGTGTGTAGGCCAGCAGATAATGGGGCCAAGAAAAGAACGGATGGGTGCTGGGAAGAAGCCCGTGGCACCCGCATTGATGACGATACTGTCAACAGTATCCTTGATAGTGTGGAGATATGATTGATCACGGCCTTGCAAGCGTTAGCAAATTCATCTCATAACAGCCATCATCATGAAGGTCTACATACAAAAAGGCATGCCCAAGGTAAAGCGGGTGCCCGTCTGTGCGATAATCATTCTCACGGTTTGGAGCAGGTTCAGCGTCTTCCAGTTCTCGGTGTCATGGCCCAGA